GAGCACGAGCAGGATGGAACATTTCTGGAAAACTGACATTTGATAATGACAAGGACAATACTGATGTGCATGAAGAAGTTTTAAGTCCGTGCTTGCCGAGAGCTAAGACGTACGAATCAGAAACATGGCCACTGGCAGAGGAAAAGGAACAGCTGAACAGCAGACAAAGTAGTTCTAGATAGGTTCGCGTTAGCATAGTTGGCTACGTACGGTGCGAAAGAAGTTCAACATACATACGTGTTCACAATTGCATCGAGAGTAAAGAAAGATGAGCACACGGATCAGGAAACATGCAAATCAGAGGCATAGCATTGACTGTAAAGGAGGGAGTGCGGGCTTGGGCTGGCCACATCACTGAAGTGATGGAACAGAGAGAAAGAGATCTGCTCAAGAGACAGACCACCACATAGATGAGATCCGTTCACGCGTAGGAGCGAGATGGATTGCGGCATCACAGAACCCTGTATGGGATGGCGGCAGTGTGCGGAGTGCAATTGACAAGACCGCATCTGAAAGTCAATTCCAATTACGAGCAATCTCTCCAGATTTCTCTTGAAAATTCGCCATCAGATGGATGTGTCCTGACTCTTGTTTGCACAGCAGGCAGAGGAGAGTGATAAATCTACTGCTGGATACATGTCTCACCAATCCACCCCCATCTCTCACAGTCCAGTGATAGTAAAACACAAATACAAATATCGCCCGTATAGCTTTCAACATGCTGTTGGGGCAAGTACTGTTTCTTTACCCGCACCTTTGATTATCGCGGTTGGCTATGTGCAGCGTGAAAGAAGTTCTACATACATCGAGCACCTTTAAAGGGCTACACGGCACATGAGGGGGTGGTTGACTCACCACGCCTAGGCCGTCTTTGTCTCCCCAACGCTAACGTTTACACTCCTATCTAAGGCTGAGTCAACCTAGGGGAGGCCCCAAAGACTGGTTCAAATATTCGTCACCGATACCGGCCATGACCGGTAATTGAACTCTGGTCATGGGGTTCGTCGCGCAGTGCGTCGACCACAGCACCATCTCTCCCCCACCAGTGGTATTTGTCCACATCGTACCTCCACGTGAGCCGATTTCATCACGACCGTATGTGTCTCTGTGGGGTTGACTTCCTCTCGGAATGGCTTCCATTCCTTGGCTGCCACTCTGTTATTATTCTTGACCATCGGCCATCATCATCATCACAACACGCGCGTCCACTTCCTCATCTTAACAGTTTGAAGTTCTCATTGGCCTGCCTATGCACTCTGATACATGCGTTTCTCTTTTTGTCTTTCGGAGTAATTCCAAATAGGCATCTCTCCAGGGGTCTTTGCACACTCTTCAGTATTTGTTCAGTCTCAATTGATAACTTCCCCACATTTCTAATTCTAGTGACAGCAGGTTGTGTATGCACTGATGAAAACAAAATAGTGAAAAAAATAGTGCACAATTGTCATTGTTTTAAATAAACCCATACACAAGTGGAAACCCCATTTCTAGACCTAAGGGACTCTTTAATTCTAATTTCTGTGGTGCTATGGATAACGCACATAGCAACTGAGCGAGTTTTGCCATTGACGTTCGGAGATTCCAACCTACAGGGCTGCTATCTAACCCCTTATTAATCACGAAGGGTTCATGCCATCATGCATTACCACGCGTTGTCCCAAAGCTGCGATTAGCATGGCTGGCTACGTTGAGTGCGAAAAAAGTCAACATACATTATATATACAAGCACACATTTCTTTGGGTCAGATGAGTTATCGGGCAACTCTAGCCGATACACACACACACACATAATGTGAAGATGAAAGGTGTGGTCCTGCAATGTCCGGCTCATTCTCCTTGCTGGCAGCAAGGCCTCCATTAGAGGTAGCTCCTGAGAGACCCCCCCCCCCCCCTCTCTCTAGAGGGTAATGTCGCTTACTTACCCTTCTATGCTGGTCAGACGTCTCGGAAAGCAATAGGAATGCCCACAAATTACCGATCGACTAATTGTGGAGCACTCATTTATACTGCCGGGCGTACAGAGGCGGTGCGAGATTCAACAAACTTCTACCCATTATTAGAACTTCCATGGCGATGGATCTAATCCAACTGGTGACCTCTGGACTGCAAGGCCCGGGTGCTAACCATTACCGCCCCCCCCGCCCCCAAGGCGCATCTCTGCTCACAGGGGAGGTGAGGGGGGTCATCGTAAAACAGTTTTGCACATTTGATCAACGTCGTTCAGGTGCGTGCATAAACTGTGGCGCCAACTTGCACGTGGCTTCTGAAGCTGCTTCTGTTGCCGCTGCGGAGGCTTGCAGGTGGTGGAGCAAGCGCACTAGGCCTCGATAGGTGTCGTCCTCATAACTGGCGGTTGAGTGTCCATGACAGACTCTTGTCAATCTTTCGCAATCTTCAGCATCTCTGTCTCAGGGAAAGCCCCGTCCAACGCATTGCGCTGGCTACCTTGTCACCAACTGACTTGGGGAGACTGATCCATGCGTTTGCGTTATGCCGACTCGACTACTGCGACGCCTTCCTGGTTGGGATGCCGAGCAAAGTACTGGGTAGACTCCAGCTTGTTCAGAATGCAGCTGCTCGAGTGTTCACACGTTTACCATTCCGTGAGCACATTACACCAGTGATCTTATCCCTTCATTGGCTACCGGTCAAATTCCGAGTGGATTTTAACATGCTGTTATTAACCTATAAGGCTTTAAAGGCGCTCACCCCACATTGCTTGCAGGAACTAATACATCGAAATATTCCATCAAGGTCCTTAAGAGCTTCTGATCTCCAACTACTTATCACTCCCAGGTCTGGGTTGCACTCTTTGGGTGATTGGGCTTTTGTGAGCGTGGCACCCAGGCTATGGAACGCTTTGCCACTTTAAATCAGAAAATCCGAGTTGGTAAATATAGACGCCTTCTTTGAAAACCCATCTCTTTAAAATGGCATTCCCTCTTCAGTTTGGTCGATTGCCCTGGTTCTGTTTTTGTTTCCTGCTTTCCATGCGCTGCGAATTGGAATCCTAGGATGGGATGTACATTATAAATTCGAATTATTATTACTTGCAGTTTAAATACAACAGGGCACGGGTTTGGATTTGCATAACGTCTACATGCAACCTCATCTCTAGACGTGGTGGGAATAGTGTGTGTGCATCACGGTGGGACACGAGGCTAATGGTACTCTCCTAACAACCCCAATAACAACGCCGACGAAGAAGAAAATAAAATTGATAAGAATAGCGCGGACCCTCACCGAGTCTCAAGACTCTTTCTCGGGAGGGTCCTGCTACATCGGGACGCTTGGCACGATTCCATTGGCGAGTGGTTGGCTTCACGTGGCCAACAATCCAGAGCAAACGCCACCACCGAGCAAACATCAATCCCTTTAACGTTGCCATCTCCTGGTCACCTCGCAACCTCTCGTGAACGCAAAACGACGCAACCCAATCAAGTTCAAAGGTCACAGACAGAAAGCCCTGAGAACGAACGCCGCCTTTCGCTCCGCCTCTCGCCCAATTCGTGCGCCGTCGAACGCGAAACGGACGAGAGGCAAATGAGTCGTTCAGCCGTCCGCGTGTTTCATGCGTCGCTGCGACGAACTGTGTCTGCTCGTCATTAAACAGCCATAGCGCAGATCAATACTCATCCGACAGCTTTTGCAGAAAATGGGGGTGGGGGGGTCGGGGTCCTGCCTCCACGCATAATGGGCGCGCATTGATTATGAATATTAATAACGGAGCAGTGCCAGCAGTATCAGGGGTTCGTTGCTACGCAAGGCACGCACGCGTCTAAGACGTGACGCGAATAACAGTCAGCAACACCCACCATCGCCAGCATCGGCAGATCTCTCGCTCTCTCTCTCTGTCTCCCACACACAGCGAGGGCACGCTCTGCCCACGTATTCACAGGTGTCACGAATGCTCGAGCATCACCCCGATCACGCCGCAATAAATCGGCTTTCGCAAATTAGCCAAAAGCTGCCGTTCGTCAATGTGACGCCGCCCTAAAATGCGAATACGGAAAGAGACGAACGACGTTGCGAGCAAACGCCCTTCTCTCGTGGCTCGGGACACAATCGACGCTCGTTTGCTTGCGGTTCACGTTAATTGTCTGTGCGCAATCGCACATTTGATGCGGTTGGGGTGGAAGCGTGCGGAGTAGTATGGGGGGGAGGGGGTGAGGATAATGGGAGAGAGGAGCGGTGGTGGTGGAAGCGGGTGGTCAGAAATCAACAACGACAAAAAAATCCGTAACGGAAGCAACGAGCGATAGAAGATTAGAATAGTTTTTTTGGGGTTTGGAAAACACTCGATTGGTGGTGATGATGATGGTGCTGATGGTGTTGCGGGAGCGGGCGGGCGGGGGGGAGGGCAGTGACGCCGACCCGAGGAGGCTTGCAGCTCCGTCAATGCGTAACCGATGCCTGCGCGCAAGTTCGCAACCGGCGCGCGGTCCGTTGTGCCGACGTTTTTAATTTCGTGTCACTTTGCGATGGTCGCGACACACGGCTGGCGCGCGTCGAGAACGACGCCTCTTGTCAGACGCGCGTCGAGGCTTGGAGGAGGGGGGGGTTGTGGTGTAGAGGAGGAGGAGGAGGGGGGGGGGCGAGAGCATTTCTGCCAGAGCTTTAACGACTTGTGCATTTTGCGCATGGGGCAAAAACAAAAAGGGCTCGCACACCCCGTTGCACGCAGCGGCACTTGACGCGATTTAAGCCAGAGACCACCTCGACGACCTTTGGAACGCTGCAAGCGACCGTATGGAGGAGGATGAGGATTTACCCACCAATGCTTCATTCTCGTCGTCATCATCATCTGCTGCTGAAACCATTTCAATGCAATGTCGACGGCCGTGTGAGCGGGCAATGCCCTCCACTGGATTTGTCTGCTTCGGCGGTGGCGCATGGCTAGGGTCACGGTGGAATGACGGTCACGGACAGACACAGACAGACAGACACAAACAGACTCAGACGCGGGTGGCAAAGTCGCGAAAAGAGAAGTCGCCACGTACCCGTGTCCTGGCGGAATTGTTGCATGCTCTGCAGGTCGAGGATGTAGGGCGACAGTGTCGGGTCGGCTTGGCCAAGCACCACGCTGCCCGAGCCCCCGAGGCTAGCCCCGCCAGCCCCACCACCACTCACGCTGCCACCTCGCATGCCACCACCACCACCGCCCTGCAAACCTCCCGAACGCAGAACCGTCTCGATGTGGTGACACACCGCTGCGCTGTATGCTCGCCACACCGTAGCCGGCTGCTGCTGCTGTTGCTGCTGCAGCTGCTGTTGCTGCTGCAGCTGCTGTTGCTGCTGTGTTGACGCTTGCGATTGTTGATGCGTCGTCGTCGTCTGCTGCTGCTGTCCGTTATGCGGCTGCTGCTGCGGCGGCGGCTGCGGCGTCGGCTGCGTCGTCGGCGCGCCGAGCGGGGATGGCTGCTGATCGTCCAGCCACTCCCAGACCACGACTCGCCACACGGGCTGCGGGGCGAGGGCGAGCGGCGAGGCGCCGGCCAGCGCGCTGGGATGCGCTCCCGAAGCGAGGAGCTGCATCTCGGACCCGAGCAGCGGCATCATCGCGGATCACCTCCTCCTCCTACTCCTCCTCGCCGCACCACCACCCCCCCCCTCCCCACCCACCCACCGACCCACCACCACCAGCACCAGGTCGCTCCAAGCGAGCTTGTAGCTTTCGCTCGTACTCCCCGAGCCTGCCTCGAACCCCAGGGTTCCTCTTCAGCCCCTTGTCGGATGAGTCCTCCTCCTGCTGCTCCTCCTGCTGCTGCTGCTGCTCCTCCTGCTGCTGCTGCACTCGATTCTGTGTCGTCCGCCCCTCTGACGACGCCGACGCCCACGCGCGCTCTGCCGAGGGCTCGGGGCACGTTCGGCTCGCCTTGTGATGCGATGCGCGGTGGTGGCTGCGGTGCAGGATGAGCGTGAGCGCGCCCCCACCTGCCGGAGTGCGTTTAATTCAAGGACCCCCCCCCACCCCTCAAACCCCCCACCCCCCAAACCCCCCACCCTACCCCCTCCCACCACCCCACCACCCCCACCCTACCCCCCACCACCCCCCACCACCCCCATCCCCCCACCCCCCACCCCCCCTTGCTTCCCAGCCACCCGCCGTTGTCACGCGGCCACCCAGCCTCATCACACAGCCACTCACCCTCATCACACAGCCACTCACCTTCATCACACAGCCACTCACCCTCATCACACAGCCACTCACCCTCATTACACAGCCACTCACCCTCATCACACAGCCACTCACCCTCATCACACAGCCACTCACCCTCATCACACAGCCACTCACCCTCATCACACAGCCACTCACCCTCATCACGCAGCCACTCACCCTCATCACGCAGCCACTCACCCTCATCACACAGCCACTCACCCTCATCACACAGCCACTCACCCTCATCACACAGCCACTCACCCTCATCACACAGCCACTCACCCTCATCACACAACCACCCACCCTCATCACACAGCCACTCACCCTCATCACACAGCCACTCACCCTCATCACACAGCCACTCACCCTCATCACACAGCCACTCACCCTCATCACACAGCCACTCACCCTCATCACACAGCCACTCACCCTCATCACACAGACACTCACCCTCATCACACAGCCACTCACCCTCATCACACAGCCACTCACCCTCATCACACAGCCATTCACCCTCATCACACAGCCACTCACCCTCATCACACAGCCACTCACCCTCATCACACAGCCACTCACCCTCATCACACAGACACTCACCCTCATCACACAGCCACTCACCCTCATCACACAGCCACTCACCCTCATCACACAGCCATTCACCCTCATCACACAGCCACTCACCCTCATCACGCAGCCACTCACCCTCATCACACAGCCACTCACCCTCATCACACAGCCACTCACCCTCGTCACAGCCAGTCACCTTCATCACACAGCCACTCACCCTCATCACACAGCCACTCACCCTCATCACACAGTCACTCACCCTCATCACACAGCCACTCACCCTCATCACACAGCCACTCACCCTCATCACACAGCCACCTACCCTCATCACACAGCCACTCACCCTCATCACACAGCCACTCACCCTCATCACACAGCCACTCACCCTCATCACACAGCCACTCACCCTCATCACACAGCCACTCACCCTCATCACACAGCCACTCACCCTCATCACACAGTCACTCACCCTCATCACACAGCCACTCACCCTCATCACACAGCCACTCACCCTCATCACACAGCCACTCACCCTCATCACACAGTCACTCACCCTCATCACACAGTCACTCACCCTCATCACACAGCCACTCACCCTCATCACACAGCCACTCACCCTCATCACACAGTCACTCACCCTCACCACACAGCCATTCACCCTCATCACACAGCCACTCACCCTCATCACACAGCCACCCACCCTCATCACACAGTCACTCACCCTCATCACACAGCCACTCACCCTCATCACACAGCCACTCACCCTCATCACACAGCCACTCACCCTCATCACACAGCCACTCACCCTCATCACACAGCCACTCACCCTCATCACACAGCCACTCACCCTCATCACACAGCCACTCACCCTCATCACACAGCCACTCACCCTCATCACACAGCCACTCACCCTCATCACACAGCCACTCACCCTCATCACACAGCCACTCACCCTCATCACACAGCCACTCACCCTCATCACACAGCCACCCACCCTCATCACACAGCCACTCACCCTCATCACACAGCCACTCACCCTCATCACACAGCCACTCACCCTCATCACACAGCCACTCACCCTCATCACACAGCCACTCACCCTCATAACACAGCCACTCACCCTCATCACACAGCCACTCACCCTCATCACACAGACACTCACCCTCATCACACAGCCACCCACCCTCATCACACAGCCACTCACCCTCATCACACAGCCACTCACCCTCATCACACAGCCACTCACCCTCATCACACAGCCACTCACCCTCATCACACAGCCACTCACCCTCATCACACAGCCACTCACCCTCATCACGCAGCCACTCACCCTCATCACGCAGCCACTCACCCTCATCACACAGCCACTCACCCTCATCACACAGCCACTCACCCTCATCACACAGCCACTCACCCTCATCACACAGCCACCCACCCTCATCACACAGCCACTCACCCTCATCACACAGCCACTCACCCTCATCACACAGCCACTCACCCTCATCACACAGCCACTCACCCTCATCACACAGCCACTCACCCTCATCACACAGACACTCACCCTCATCACACAGTCACTCACCCTGATCACACAGCCATTCACCCTCATCACACAGCCACTCACCCTCATCACACAGCCACTCACCCTCATCACACAGCCACTCACCCTCATCACACAGCCACCCACCCTCATCACACAGCCACTCACCCTCATCACACAGCCACTCACCCTCATCACACAGCCACTCACCCTCATCACACAGCCACCCACCCTCATCACACAGCCACTCACCCTCATCACACAGCCACTCACCCTCATCACAGCCAGTCACCTTCATCACACAGCCACTCACCCTCATCACACAGCCACTCACCCTCATCACACAGCCACTCACCCTCATCACACAGCCACTCACCCTCATCACACAGCCACCCACCCTCATCACACAGCCACTCACCCTCGTCACACAGCCACTCACCCTCATCACACAGCCACTCACCCTCATCACACAGCCACTCACCCTCATCACACAGCCACTCACCCTCATCACACAGCCACCCACCCTCATCACACAGCCACTCACCCTCATCACACAGCCACTCACCCTCATCACACAGCCACTCACCCTCATCACACAGCCACTCCCCTCATCACACAGCCACTCACCCTCATCACACAGCCACTCACCCTCATCACACAGCCACTCACCCTCATCACACAGCCACTCACCCTCATCACACAGCCACTCACCCTCATCACACAGACACTCACCCTCATCACACAGCCACTCACCCTCATCACACAGCCACTCACCCTCACAACACAGCCACTCACCCTCATCACACAGCCACTCACCCTCATCAACAGCAACTCCCCTCTCATCAAGCAAGCCACTCACCTCATCACACAGCCATTCACCCTCATCACACAGCCACTCACCCTCATCACCAGCCACTCACCTCATCAACACAGCCACTCACCTCATCACACAGCCACTCACCCTCATCACACAGCCACCCACCATCATCACACAGCACTCACCCTCATCACACAGCCACTCACCCTCATCCCACAGCCACTCACCCTCATCACACAGCCACTCACCCTCATCACACAGCCACTCACCTCATCACGCAGCCACTTCAACACCTCATCACACGGCACACTCACCCCGCATCACACAGCCACTCACCCTCATCACACAGCCACTCACCCTCATCACACAGCCACTCACCCTCATCACACAGCCACCCACCATTATCACACAGCCACTCACCCTCATCACACAGCCACTCACCTCATCACACAGCCACTCACCCTCATCACACAGCCACCTCACCCTCATCACACAGCACTCACCCTCAGCACACAGCCACTCACCCTCATCACACAGACACTCACCCTCATCACACAGCACTCACCCTATCACACAGCCACTCACCCTCATCACACAGCCACTCACCCTCATCACACAGCCACTCACCCTCATCACACAGCCACTCACCCTCATCACACAGCCACTCACCCTCATCACACAGCCACTCACCCTCATCACACAGCCACTCACCCTCATCACACAGCCACCCACCCTCATCACACAGCCACTCACCCTCATCACACAGCCACTCACCCTCATCACACAGCCACTCACCCTCATCACACAGCCACTCACCCTCATCACACAGCCACTCACCCTCATCACACAGCCACTCACCCTCATCACACAGCACTCACCCTCATCACACAGCCACTCACCCTCATCACACAGCCACTCACCCTCATCACACAGCCACTCACCCTCATCACACAGCCACTCACCCTCATCACACAGCCACTCACCCTCATCACACAGCCACTCACCCTCATCACACAGCCACTCACCCTCATCACACAGCCACTCACCCTCATCACACAGCCACTCACCCTCATCACACAGCCACTCACCCTCATCACACAGCCACTCATTCACACAGCCACTCACCCTCATCACACAGCCACTCACCCTCATCACACAGCCACTCACCCTCATCACCACAGCCACTCACCCTCATCACACAGCCACTCCACCCTCATCACACAGCAATCACCCTCATCACACAGCCACTCACCCTCATCACACAGCCACTCACCTCATCACACAGCCACTCACCCTCATCACACAGCCACTCACCCTCATCACACAGCCACTCACCCTCATCACACAGCCACTCACCCTCATCACACAGCCACTCACCCTCATCACCCAGCCACTCACCCTCATCACACAGTCACTTCACCCTCATCACACAGCACTCACCCTCATCACACAGCCACTCACCCTCATCACACAGCCACTCCACGCCTCCTCACACAGCCACTCACCCTC